GGCGGTGCGCAGAGCAACGAAGGGATGGGCCTGCTGTCGATCAGCCTCGACTGGCAGTACATCACCTCGTCGCAGATGTCGCTGCCTCTGATCCAGCAGGCGAATTCGTGGATCGGCTATGCGGTGTGCTACATTGCCATGGCGGCGATCTACTACGGCAACGTGTGGGGCGCAAAGTCGTTCCCCTTCATGTCGACGAGCATCTTTTCCGACTCGGGACACAAGTACAACCAGACGGCGGTGTTTGTGAACGGCATTTTGGACAAGGCCAAGCTCGAGGCGGTTGGGTATCCGAATGTGACGGGCACGTATGCGTGGGGGATGTTGATGCGCAATGCGGCCATTGGCGCGCTCGTCACGCACGTCGTGCTCTTCTGGGGCAAAGATGTACTTCGCAATCTGCGCGACGCTCGCAACAAGACCCAACCGGACCGCCACTGGAAGGCCATGCAAAAGTATCCCGAAGCGCCTCACTGGTGGTACCTGGTGCTGCTGTTCATCTCGTTCGTCTTTGGCTTGATCGTGGTGCTTACCCAGCGCACGACGCTTCCGTGGTACAGCTACATTGTCTCGCTCGTCCTTGGTGCTGTGGTGGCTCCCTTCTCCGCCGTGCTGTACGCGATCCTGGGTAACGGAATTAGCACCAACAACCTCACCAAGATGATCGGCGGCGTCGTCAGCCCCGGTCGTCCTTTGGCGAACCTCTACTTCTACGCATGGTCGCACAGCACGATTGCACAAGTCATCAACCTGTCCAACGACTTGAAAATGGGTCAATATTTGAAGGTGCCGCCAAGGACAATGTTCGTCACGCAAGTCGTAGGAACGGTGTTTGGGGCGTTCCTCAACTACGCGATTGCATCGACGATCATCAAGTCCAAGTTTGAGCTCCTGCTGACGAATACGGGCAGCTACGTATGGTCGGGTGCGTACTACCAGTCGCTCAATGTCAGCGCAGTGACGTGGTCGATGGCCAAGTACATGTACGGACCGGGCACGCCGTATTTCATCATCCCCATGGCGGTGCTGATCGGCATTGCGGCTGTGATTGTGCACTACGCCTTTACCCTCGTCGTACCGCAGATCGGCAGCTTCAAGACGCGAGACCTGGTGCTGCCCACCGTGTTCCTGTACTCGGCCTGGATGACCGCCGGACAGAACTGCGTCATCCTGACCACGATCGCAGTGGGTGTCGTGTCGCAGGCAGTCCTGCGCACCCGCTATCCCAAGTGGTTCAAGGAGTTCAACTATATTGTCGGCGCCGGCTTCGACGGCGGCTCGCTGCTCGTCATCTTCATCCTCAGCTTCGCCGTGTTTGGCGCTGCGGGCACCGAGCGTCCCTTCCCCACGTGGGCGGGTAACCCGGCAGGATTCCCCGACTACTGCCCCGACCCCTCCTCTTCGTAGACAGGCATCGATTGTAGAAGGGCATATTAGAATTGACGACTTTGTGAAGCGTGTTTGGGCGGCTTTGCGTTCTTGTTGTGCGGGTGTATGCGGATTAGACAAGGCTCTTGGGGGCGGGGAGGACGGGCTGACCTTCAGCCGTGACATAGGCGCTGGAGAGACCGCCGTCGACAAGCAGGTCGTGTCCGAGCACGTACGACGATTCGTCGGTCGCCACTGTTGTGACACCAAGGCAACATTGTCAGCTCACTGGCGCTGCCCGGTGTGGTGGTGTGAGAAGAGTACGTACGGAAAAGCACGGCCTTGGCCTGCTCGACGGCCTCGCCGAACCTGCCGAGGGGCAGGTGGGTGAGTCTGCGGTTGAGCTTTTCGGGGGTGTTGAGGAAGTCCATGAGCAGCGGGGTCTGGAGCGGGCCGCTACGACATGCAAACAAAGGAGGTTAGCGATAATCGAGGCTGTATCTGTCGTAGGGGCAGCGAGTACGTACGGGCAGAGCGAGTTGACGCGGATGCCTTCGCGCGCGTGGACCATGGCGAGTTCGCGCGTCATTGCGAGCACGGCGCCCTTGGATGCGGTGTAAGCGATCTGGGGGGTGGCGGCGCCCATGACGGCTACGAAGGAGGCGGTGTTGATGATGGAGCCGCCGACGTGGAGGTCCTTGGACTCGTCGGTGGGGTTGTTGCGCATGGCGATGATGGCGTGCTTGCAGCCGTACCAAACGCCCTTGACGTTGATGGCCTGGGTGAGGTCCCAGATCTTTTCCTCGGTGTTGAGCGCGTTGTCGTCGGCGGGGTGCATGATGCCGGCGTTGTTGAACTGTGGAAAGGAAGGAAGGAAAGGTGAGCCTGTGAAATGTCGTACGATTGTTTGATGGAGTCGCGGCTTACCATGACGTCGAGACGGCCAAACTCGTCTACTGCACGCTTGACGATGGCGGCGACCTCGTCCTCCTTGCTGACATCGCACTTCATTGCGATGGCTTTGACGGGAGGGTTGGCATCCTTGAAGCGCTCGTTGACAATGTCGGCGGTGTTTTGGCAAGCGTCGATGTTGATGTCGGCGAGCACGACGCTAGCGCCCTCGGAGGCGAAGAGGACTGCGCATTCACGACCGATGCCGCTGCGGTCATCGAAACGGCCACATATGGAGAGTCAGCATGCGCGCAAACAGGGTGAAGAGGTTGCATACGGAGAATGACCACTTACGAGCCACCGCCGGTGATGACGGCCACCTAATGCATTCCAGGAGGAGAGTAAACGAGGGTCAGCGACAGACGCGACGAGTGGGATGCGCGGGGGCGACGGCGACTTACGCGATGAGGGAGACGAAGACCAGGCATGTTGATCGAGCGAGTGCGGTTGTGAGTGAGTTGCGATGATGGTGTGATGGTGTGATGGTCAGAAGGAGAGGCGAGAGTGACTGGCAATGCTCCGGGCGTCGGACGCACCGACAATGCGGCTCCTCCGCACGCACACCCAGCCACGCTCTTCGGAAGTTGGCCGGCTGGGCCTGGCTTATCGCGCGGCGCTTCCGACGCGCAGAGAGGCGCTTGCGAAGCTCTAAAAAGCGGAGGTCCGTGCCGCGGCCCAATTACCGGCGCCAATTTCACGGGATTTTGCACGGCCCAAAAGCGGCGCGTGACTTCTCAGAGATGCACTCTCCAATCACAGTGACCAACGCGCGGCTATCTCATGCACGATGAATTGCTGCGGCTCTACAGTGGCGGACAATGCAATCTACGATCAGGCCTTGCGCAGACGCATGTGGATCGCCTTTGGCTGCGTGAGCTGGTCGAATCCAAGCGTGCTCAGGCTGACGCCTCGTCCGCTGTCCTTGACGCCCGTCCAGGGAAGCGCCGGGTCGAGCACGTCGGCACGGTTGAGGTACACGGTGCCCGTCTCGAGCTCGGTGGCGAGGCGGTCAAAGGCAGCCGCCGACTCGGCATCCTCGATGTTGGTCCATACGGAGGCGGTGAGGCCGTAGTGCGAGTCGTTCATCAGCTCGAGTGCCTCGTCGTCCGAGGACACCTTCATGATGCCGATGGCAGGCCCAAACGTCTCTTCGGTCATGATCTCCATCGAGTGGTCGACGTCGACGAGCACCGTCGGCGCCACCAGCGCGGTGCCAGCTTTGGCTTCGGGGAAGAGGTCGGCGGGGATGAGGTTCTTGGCGCCCTTGCTCAGAGCATCGTCCACCTGCTTGCGGATGCGCTCGGCCGAGGCGAGGCTGACCACGGGCCCCAGAGAGACGCCCGACTGGCTCGGGTTGCCCAGCTTGTACTGCTTTGCCACGCCGACAAACTCGTTGACAAACTCGTCAAACACCGAGGCGTGCACGTAGATGCGCTCCACCGAACAGCACGACTGGCCCGAGTTGAACATGGCGCCGTCCACCAGCTCTTCGGCCGCCCACTTGATGTCGGCGTCCGCACGTACGTACGCAGGGTCCTTGCCGCCGAGCTCCAGACCGACGCCCTTGAAGCCGGGTCCGTCGGCCGCCGCCTTGGCGAGCGCCTTGCCACCGGCAACGGAGCCAGTAAAGATGAGGAAGCCGATGCGCGGGTGAGCTGCGAGCTTGGCGGTCGTTTCAAAGTCGAGGTGGGCGATGTGCAGCAGACCCTTGGGCAGGCCCGCCTGCTCGAGCGTGCGCTGGAAGCTCTCTGCCGTGAGCGGCGTCTGCGGCGACGGCTTGAGCACCACCGCGTTTCCGGCGAGCAGCGCGGTGATGAGGCCGTTGACGGTGGTGAGGTACGGATAGTTCCACGGCGTCACGATGCCGACCACGCCGAAAGGATCGCGGCGGATAGCGAGCTTGAGGTTGGGCGTCTCGGTGTCGGTGCGCGGCGAGTCGGCCAGGCACTCTTCCGCCACCTTGCAGAGGTATCGGCATCGCTGGAGCGCGCCCTTGATCTCGCCGGCGCACTGCGAGGCAGGTCGGCCCATCTGCTCCGAGAGTTCCTTTCCGAGCGCCTCCTTGTCCGCATCGAGCAGCGCCATCCACTTGGTGATGATCGCCACACGCTCCTTGACGCTCACCTTGGCCCACGACTTTTGCGCTGTGGCCGCAGCATCGATGGCTTGGTCGAGCTCGGCAGCCGAGAGCAGCTGCTTTTCGCACACGACGCTCTGGTCGTAGGGCGCGATAGTGGTCTGGATCGAGGAGGACGACATTATTGTTGTTGGGGTGATGGTGGTGGTGGCGAGGGGCGAGTGGAGGCGGAACTTCCGAAAAGGCACTCGCCTCACATTTTGGCCGGCACATCCGAGCAGCTGACTGGGCTTTGAGCGGCTGCGACCCGCGTGGCGCAATCCAGCCAGAGATAAGGCACTTTGCGAGTCAGAACCAACAGAGTTGTGCCTCGGCACTTTTGGGCGCCACTCGGCTGGCCCGTGTGTGCTGCTCCGCGTTGCTCGGACCATCGCCGACAATGAATTGATGAAGCTGCATGCAGCCTTCGGAAGATGGCCGACCATCACTCTGCGGGACCAGCCGAGCGCGGAGCATCCGACTCGATATCAGTCACGCGACCCTCCGCCATCCTCCTATCGATCCGCCATCCTCACCACCACCATCATCGCCGCTGCCTCACACCATGTCGGAAAAGCAAAGATCCATCACATACACCGACCTCGAGGAGCTGCTCCGCAATGACAACAAGGTCAAGCTAGGCGGCGTCGACGTCGACGGCATCGTGCGCGGCAAGTACGTCTCCAAGAGCAAGTTCCTCTCGGCGGCCAAGCCCGACTCGGACTTTGGCTTCTGCTCGGTCATCTTTGGCTGGGACATGCACGACCAGGTCTACTCCAAGGAGCTGCTCGTCTCCAACAAGGCCAACGGCTACCGCGACCTCTCGGCGCGCATCGACCTCGACTCGTACCGTCGCATCCCGTGGGAGGACAACCTGCCGTTCTTCCTCATCCGCTTCTTCAACCCGGACGGCTCGCCGCTCGCCGTGTGTCCGCGCAGCCTGCTGCGCTCCGTCACCCAGACCGCCCAGCGCGATCTCGGGCTGGTCTGCATGGCCGGCGCCGAGTTTGAGTACTTTCAGTTTGCAGAGACCGCGCAGAGCCTCGAGGCCAAGGGGTTCGTCAACCTCACGGCGCTCACGCCGGGCAACCACGGCTACTCGATGCTGCGCACCACGCTCAACAAGGACTACTTTCTCGAGCTCTTTGACGCCGCACAGGCGTTTGGCATCGACATTGAGGGACACCACACCGAGACGGGCCCGGGCGTGTACGAGACCGCACTCGCCTACACCGAGGTGACGCGCATGGCCGACATGGCGGTGCTCTACAAGCTGCTCGCCAAGTCGGTCGGCATCAAGCACGGCATCATGCCCACGTTCATGGCCAAACCCTGGGCCAACCTGGCCGGCTGCTCGGGCCACATCCATGTGTCGCTGCGCGATCCGACGACGGGCAAGAACGTGTTTGGGCTGAGCGCCGACGAGATCGCTGCGGGAGGGCGCAAGGATGCGCCGTACGACGATGTGCGCTATCTGTCGGTGGTGGGCGAGCAGTTTTTGGCGGGCATCATGACGGGCTTGCCCGACATTATGCCTCTGCTGTGTCCGACGGTCAACTCGTACAAGCGTCTGACGACGGGCGAGGCGTACTGGGCGCCCAACATCTGTTCGTACGGCTACGACTCTCGTCTCGTCTCGGTGCGCATTCTGGGCCCACCGGATGCACCCGATTACGCCACGCGCTTTGAGGTGCGCGTTCCCGGTGCCGACCTGAATGCGCAGTACGCCTTCGCCGCCGTGTTTGCACTGGGCATGTACGGCATCCAGCACAAGCTGGCGCTTCCCTTTGCACCGCTCGATACGACGCGCAGCCTCAAGGATCAGCATCTGGTGTACCTGCCTACGTCGCTCGAGGCGGCAACCGCCAAGTTCATGGCCAAGGACAGTTTGGCTCGCAAGGTGCTCGGCGATACGCTCGTGGACCATTTCGGCGGCACGCGATTGCACGAGGTGCAGCTCTTTAACCAGACCGTCACCAACTGGGAGATGCAACGATACATGGAGCTCGTCTAGATGGGCAGAGCCGGTGCAACGTTTTGGATGCAATGCAAGGCCTTCTTGGAGATCCCTTTCGCGGGTGGCAAGAGCGCGCGAAGTGGAAGCAGTGTGGCTAACAGTGATGGGACAAGGCGATTTGGAGGAGAGCAATCAAGGCGACTGAGCTTTGGGTGGCGTGGTTGGCAGTACTCGGGCGCTGTTTGGCAAGGCGAGTTGCGTTGGCGAGCCTTGTAGACGTGAAAAACGAAAGCCAAGGCGGGGGAGCGAGCCCAAAGGCAGGCAGCGAAATGGTTCATTGACCTGACTCACACCTGATGCGAAAGGAAAAACAAACTATATTAGGATCCTACTGGACGACAATCTAAAACGTGTATCTGGCAGCATCTACTGGGCGGAGACATAGAGCCTGCCCTCGTACGGCTTGAGGGTGCCCTTGTTGCCGTCGGCCCTTGTATCGAGCACGGCCTCTACGTTTCCGACCTCCTGCGGCACCTCGTACGTCTGCTCCTCGGCGGTAAAGTTGAGCACGACAAACGCCTTTTCGCCGCCCTCGGCGATCTTGATGAACTTGAACATCTTTTCGTCCTCCTCCTCCAGCAGCCTAAACTCTCCGCGTCCAAGCAGGGACGCACGCTGCTTTCGAACTCCAATCGCCTTGCGGTAAAAGTTGAGCACGGATTCGGGGTCGTCCTGCTGCGCCTCGACGTTGATGGTGGTGTAGTTGTCGTTGGTTCGCATCCACGGCTTGGTGGTCGGCGTCTTGCTGAATCCTCCGTTGGGCGCCGACGACCACTGCACCGGAGNCGCCTCGACGTTGATGGTGGTGTAGTTGTCGTTGGTTCGCATCCACGGCTTGGTGGTCGGCGTCTTGCTGAATCCTCCGTTGGGCGCCGACGACCACTGCACCGGAGTACGGGCGTTGTCACGGCCCGTCTTGTTGACGTTCTGAACCGCCTGCTCCAACGCAGCCTTGTCGCCGTTGGTACGCTTCTTGACCGCAGCAAAGTAGTTGATGCTGTTGACGTCGAGGTACTCCTCGGCACCCCAGGAGGAGGGAACGTTGGTCATGCCGATCTCTTCGCCCTGGTAGACGTAGACGGTGCCGGTGAGCGTCATGTTCATGAGCGCCAGCAACTTGCCCGAGTCGGTGATGTGTTGAGGCTTGTCCGACGCAAAGCGCGAGATGGAGCGCGACTGGTCGTGGTTCTCGATAAAGACGGTGGTCCAAGCATCGTTGCCCTCGGTGAAGCGCTGCCACTTGTTGATGATGCGCTTCATGTCCGGCAGACCAAACTTGACGAGCTTGAGGAGGTCGACGGGGTCGCGGCCGAGGTCGACCAGGTCGAACTGGAACACCTCGCTCAGCTCGTTCTCGGCCGCCGAGACGTAGCGCACCACGTCGGCGGTCTTGGGCGTGTTGGGGAGCTCGCCGACGGTCATCGCGTCGTACTTTTCGAGGATGGCGCCCATCTCCTTGAGGTAGGTGTGCATCATGGGACCGTTGCAGTAGAGCATGCCGGCGGGCTGGGTCTCTGCGCCCTCGTCGACGATGGGCGCGTCGGGGAAGTCCATGGGCTTGGAGTACATGTTGACGGTGTCGACGCGGAATCCGTTGACGCCCTTTTTGAGCCAGAACTCCATGGCGCTCTTGTAGATGGCGTTGCGGCAGTCGTCGTTGGTCCAGTTGAGGTCGGGCTGTTCGGGGCAGAAGAGGTGGAGGTAGTACTCCTGCGTCTGCTCGTCCCAGGTCCAAGCGGGCTGGTTGAAGTTGGACCTCCAGTTGTTGGGCGGCCTGCGGGTGCCGTCGGCGTCGTACTTTGCCGGCCTCCAGATGTACCAGTCGCGCTTGCTGCTGTGTTTGGACGAGCGCGAGTCTTTGAACCAGGCGTGCTGGTCCGAGGTGTGGTTGACGACGAGGTCGAGGATGAGCTTGATGCCGCGCGAGTGGCACTGGGCGATGAGCTCGTCCATGTCAGCGACGGTGCCGTAGGGCGGGTAGACGGACTCGTAGTCCGAGATGTCGTAGCCCATGTCGATCTGCGGCGAGTCGTACATGGGCGAGAGCCAGATGGTGTTGACGCCGAGCGACTTGATGTAGTCGAGCGACTGGATGATGCCCTGGATGTCGCCCATGCCGTCGTCGTTGCTGTCGCGGAAGGAGGCGGGCCAGATCTGGTATACGATGGCATCGCGGAACCAGAACGTGCGCGAGCTCGAGCCGACGAGCGAGTCGTTGGAGGGCATTTTGC